TTCTCAATTGGTSATTTTTATTATAATAATTAATTCTATGATTTGCCAGATAATTGCAGTCGWCTATGATTTATAAATTTTTTAAAAAAAACAGTTGACTAAATTATCTGGCATATAATACAATTAATTAAATAATCAAACAAAATGACCAGTTACAATTTTATAAACGACAAAATTGTCTACAACATTGCCACCTTGGTTATTATTTTTTTAAAATTCAACTTATTCTTGATGTGATAATTAGTAATTAATAGCATAGCTGTCGTCGCTGTTTAWGATTCTACTCTATTTATATGTAAAATATTTTTAATAAWTAAATGAAAAATATAAATTTTTATTTTTTTTAAATTTACCTAGTACATCAGTAGCTAGCATGATGATAATTGCCATAGTTACGATGACTATAATTGAGTAGATTTTGTTTAGCTGGTACATTTTTTGTTAAATATATAAATTTAGCAACTAAACAAGATATTTAATTATTATAATTTTTTAGTTTTTATTAAATTTTTAGTTTTTAGATTTTTTTACTCTGTGTAAATTTTCTTTTTTCTCTCTCTATTTATACATTTTTTTACATTATTCTTAGTTCATAGTTCTTATTACTATTATTTTTAACATTAATTATATTTCTTCATAGTTAATAAATAATAAAAAAAACCAGTTAAGAATGCTAGAAAGCATTATCAGAAAAAAAACTTAATATATAATAGAGACATAATATACAGTATTGTGTTCGCAAATTAATTGTCATTTGTGTTTTAGTCATATTGTCAAATGACTCGGAATAACATAATAAACTTAACTATAGTCATTAAGAAGATCAAATGATTAAGTATAACAAAATAAACAACTAAAATCATACTTTTGAAAAAATTAGTTTGGTCTATTATATYTTATTTTTGTTTCTCTATGAAATTCTGAACGGTAAAATATTTTAATAAATTTTTTTAMTTTGGCCGCCATTTTATCTATATTCASGAAAATATATCAAAATTTTAATACATATTCCTTATGCTTGTTTTTGATGCTTTATTCAAATCTATACTTAAAATATTTTCCTAATTTCTTATTTCTATTTTTGGCCCGCCATTTTTTCATGTTCCTGAAGAGATATCAAAATTTTAATGCAACTTTTCAATACATTATTAGTAGTCCWCTAATCGAATCTGAAGTCATAATTTCAAAATTYGCAAAATGAAATGCTACAGACAGACGGACACACACACACACAAAAGACTCGTATAGATTTCAGTAAACAAAAAAACTTTTTCAAAGTATTTCCATTATAATTTATTAGCTTAGTAAATATTTATATATATATATTTTTTGTAAATAATGAGTTCAATGATATAATGATTAAGTRTATCTTAATTATTAGTTTAATAAATATTATAAAAAATTATTATAATAAATAAGTTAATATCTATATATTTATTTATGATTTATATTATAGTTTATTAGTAATATTATTAAATTTCATACTATTTTTTGTTGAGAATTTGCTGATTAATTGCTAAAAAAATATGTTAAAAATCTAATAATTTAAGATTTATCTATCACTATAGCATTCAATAATTTTAGTTTTTATTTATKAAAAATAATAAAAATATTTATAAATTATAACTTTATTGTGATACATTAAATAGCTATAGATTTTATATATTTATTWTTATTTAGAATAATATTTATAGATTTATAGTTTTGTTTTCAATATTTAAATAAAACAATATATTTATTAAACTTTTTGTTATTTTTAATATTTGTTATTTTATTAACGCAATATAATATAATAGATATTTTTATTACTATGTATTTTTTGTTTTTAAAACTAAACTAATAATAATTTATTARTTTCAAGAAAAAATAAATTAATAAATATATTTTTTTATTATATTTAAAAAACTGTTAATATAAAATTATTTGTTTTTTCTAATTAAAAATAATTAAAAATTTTCTCTCTCTCTCTCTCTCTCTCTCTCTATATCTCTCTCTCTCTCTCTCTCTCTCTCTCTCTCTCTCTCTCTCTCTCTCTCTCTCTCTCTGAAAAATATCTCTCTCTCTCTCTCTCTCTCTCTCTCTCTCTCTCTCTCTCTCTCTAAATATTTGATTATCTTTTCTGATAATATTCATAGTTTTAAATTTATCAATTATTTCCTTATCAATCATTTCCTCATTGATATATAGATTTTTAGTATGAATAATATTTGTACATGATGGTCTTTCATTATATCTAACATTCATCATTGATTCTATTAATTTAGAAATATTAATAATATAGTCAATTAAATTTGTTTGTGAATACAGTTGTTGAAATTCACTGAAAAATTAAAAAAAGTTAAATAATTATTTCTAAATAATAATAATATGTATGATTAGATAATATTAAAAAAATATATTGTATATATATATATAATGTATTTTTATACCAAATATCAATATTAAAGTTGACATAAATAAAAGATACACCAATACTAAAATCAAATTATTCAACTAGTTAAAATCAATAATAATAATAAAAATATGTATAGTATATTATTTACTTACTTAAAATATCTTTTAATGCATATAGTTTATTATTTGTTTTATCCAAAACTAATTTTATAAAACGATTATCAATTCGTTTATCATTGATAAGTATATCAAATTAAGTACTGTAAAAGTGTTAGTTAAATAACCAATTTTTTCATTTACTTCATCCGATTCAGAAAACATTGTCAATTTAACTAAATAATCTTTTTCTATATTAGAAATGTATTTTTTATAATATTCTCTATTTAAATTTATAATATCATTATTGCTAAATTTATCATTTTCAATAATAAATCTTGAATTAGTATTTTGAACACAAAATGATTCAATTATATTAGTAAAATCAAATTGGTCTTGAATAATAATAATAAAAATATGTATAGTATATTATTTACTTACTTAAAATATCTTTTAATGCATATAGTTTATTATTTGTTTTATTTAAAACTTTATAAACTCGACCAAAACCTCCAGAACCTATCAAATTAAGTACTGTAAAAGTGTCAGTTAAATAACCAATTTTTTCAGAAAACATTGTCAATTTATCTAAATAATCTTTTTCTATATTAGAAATGTATTTTTTATAATATTTTCTATTTAAATTTATAATATCATAATTGCTAAATTTAACATTTTCAATAATAAATCTTGAATTAGTATATTGAACAYGATCAATTATATYWGYACAGGATGGTCTTGAATAATAATCCTGATGTRTCATTATTGTTATCAGATCGGTTAGCAAATWAAAATAATTATGTAGTTYATGMTCAAAATATTGATCAACACAAGTTCTAAAAAATAAAAAAAAAATATTAATTTAAAAACATATATATATAAAAATAATAAACTTAAATAATAATACTCTAAATTSTTCATATCAAATAGTTCTTTAAATATTATTCCCATGCTAAAAATATCACATTTTTCATTGTATGAAACTGTTTTATCTCTTTTTCTGCATTCAGGTGCTAAATATCCAACTGTTCCTTTATTAGGTGTATGTTTTTCAGATATTAAATCTAAAATACAATGTTTTGTTGCTATATTAAAATCACATAACTTAATAAATCTSCCGTTATTTGTGTAAACATTTATTAGTATATTTTCAGGTTTAATATCTCTATGTATWATTGGCGGTTTTTGTGTATGTAAATATTCAACACATTCTAACAACTCTATAATCATATGACTGGTTAAATAATACTCCAAACAACCAATCGGTTCATATGATTCACGTCCAAATGTTTTTGGTTTTACTTCTAAAATATTTCGCAAATTTTCTGACATTAAATCCATTTGTATGTAAAGTTTGTCGATTTCAATCCACGAATACAAATAGTTGACCACATAGTCTGAACGTAATTGTGTTAAATAGACGATTTCATCGTATATATATTTATCAGGATTACGGTTATTTTCTATTGAAAAATTAGTTATGTTTTTGTTTTTTAATATATATATATAAAAATAATATTTATACCTAATATTATTTCTTTAATAGCGTATAGATTTTTAGACAATTTTTCTTCAACTCGATAAACTCTACCCATATAACCCGAACCAATTGCATTAAGATTATTAAATGTTTCAGATAAATAATTTAGTTTATTATCAATATTATTTTTACATGTAGACATTATTTTATTAATATTTAACTAATTTAACAAAAACAAATACAATTTATTTAAAAAAAATTGTTTATCACATTTAAWAAAATAAAATTAATATAAAAATTTTTACCTAAACTAAATCTATGTTAGCATAAAAATTTAGTGCGTAGTTATTTCAACTATAATTATATCAACTTAACAATTATCTAAGTTTTTTTTATCATATTATTGATAAAATGTTACTTGCTCATTTGTAATGTGTATTAAAAATACTTTAGTTTTTTAGACTTTATTTACAAATATTTTCAGTATATTTTGTAATTTATAACTTTACTAACTTTATAGCATTAATTTTTATTATTTTATTATATTAAATTAATTGATTACAGTTTATTGTTTAATTAAACTAATCTAAAAAAAGTAACTATGATAAGTAAAATTATCTTATCAAACTAATACAATAAATAGAAAATATTTTTATTAATGTTTATGAAATTCTATTACTTTCTAATAAATTTCAGATTAATCTTTTTGAAAGTTTGTATTATATTTTTTAACAGAAAATTTTTGAAAAGCTAATTTTAATTAAAATTAATTTATAAAATTATTTATGCATTTTTATTTAAGACAATGATTTTATTTTACTAGACATATCATATAAAAATATCATTTAATTTACTTGTCTATAGCAATTTATTATTTATATTTCTTAATATGTATTTTTTTCTAAATTGTTAGATTTTATTTGTTTAGATTAATTTTAATTAATTAAATTAAACATTTAATACAATGCTATAAATAATTAATTTTTAGTTTACTTTTGTATATAAATTTAAAATTTATTTATTTCAAAATTTATTTTGGATTAAATTTCAGTTCCATAGTCATACATCTGTACCGTATTTCTGGATAAAAATTACCAGATTTTATGATTTCTTTATCAAACATATATTTGTTCTAAAAATAATTAAATAAATAATTTAAATTTTATATTGATTTTTTAAAAAAATAATTTATTTACTTCACGAATTATTTTATCATAATCTGTTTTCAAACGATAACAGGTCTTCAAAAATAAATAAATTTTAATTAAATTATTTAATTAATTAATTAAAATAAAAACTAATAATTACCCTGCTTAGTATACTATTCAATGATTCCTCGCAGGCATACTGTGCCAAACAATGGCTTAATGCCTGACCAAAATAGGTTATACCGTTATTGTCTATATATGTTTTGTAGCCTATATAAATAAATAAACAATTTATATATATAAAAAAAATTTATTAATATATATTTAATATCATACTTCTAGCGCATGAATAGCATATAAATATATCCTGATTAGCGTCCGACCAGTTTTTATCGATTGTCTTAATATTACCAAAATTTTCGTAATTAGTTTTCAATTCTTGAGCCAAATAAGTCAATGAATTTTCATTATTTTGTTGATTAGTTGATWCTTTTAAATCYAAGTCGACTGTATTTTTTTACATAAAAAATTTTTTTTTGAAAAAATAGTATTAGTTTATTAGACTATAATTTTATTTATTTAAAAAAAATAAATAATACTTACTTTCCCGACAACAGGTAAAGAAAAATAATTTCGGTTTATTTAACAATTTTGAATCCTTTAAGTTAGTGTCGGAAAATATATCGACAATTGATTTAATTTCAATCATATCTTTTCTAATTGAATTGTTTGCATAATYTTTATCTGTATAACTATTATAGTTTTCAWAAACTTGACAAGCATCACAGCCTAGTATAGATTCATTAGCACCATGGGTAATTATCATCAATACAAATGCATCATCATCAATGWTTGAACGATTTTCAACTATAGACTGTAGTAAACTAACAATTTTKTCGACATTCAGATCGTAATGATTTTCGACATCGAAATGTAAATCACGAAAAATTTCACGAAATCTTTSCGACTCTAGMGTTACTTGTTTACGGACATTGTTAATGATTAGACATTTTCCTCGCGGTATTTGTCTCATCGGATAATAACCGGACATTCCGTTTGTTGTTTCTTTACATTTGGTAACTCTATGTATAAAAATATATTTATAATAAAATAATTATAAAAAAATTAAATTATTAGAAATTCTAAATAATAAAAAAAACTAATTAAAAAAATATTTAATACATACATTAGTTTTGAATCGTAWGTATATTTTCTATGTCCAAGTGATGTATTAAACTTTTCCARTTTGTCAGCCATTTTGCTATTGATTTTACTAACTGTAWCATCAGTTTTACGTATTATATCGATMAGTGTATTGCATGAGCTCCGGGATCTGGTAAACCATGTCATTATGAATACTAACTTTTCCTTATCGGTCGACAACWTATTGACAACAGTTARCATTTCGTGTCTGAAATCTYGATTGTTTAGCCAAACTSTYTAATAGTTTTGGTGTTAGTACTAWATWTTTAAATATATCCATAAAACTACTAAAATAATTGTCACGATTTTCGACTTTTTCCATTATTTTTATAACTTTTWAAAGATATTACAGTTTAATATAAATTAACAAATAAAATTTTGCTATTTATTACATAAAACTGTTTATGATTAAACTATTAAGCGATTATATTTATAGTTGTAAGAAAATATATTTTATTTTATTAAATATAATATTAAAGGTTTTTATATATGAATTGTTATAATTATTTTAAATGACATATGATAACATTATTGAAATAATATAATTCATTTTTTGTTATCATATCAATAAATAAAACAAATAATGTAATAAATTGTTTTTGTATAAATAATTTTTTTTAGAAAATATTTGAACAAAATAATTTTTAATTAAACATTTATTTATATTTTTAAAAAATATTTTTAAAAAACTCAAATGGTTATAAAATTGTTTTAATTAAATTACTTAAAAGTATTCATTGAAAGTATTTTTTTAAGTATATGAATTTATATTTTATTAGTTATCATTATAAAAATACTTAATAATACTATAGCTTACATGCTATATTACATGTATTTATTTATCTTATCATTTATAATAATAAATATTTTTTATTCCTTTATAACTATAAATTATAAATAATAATTTCGTAACATTTAACAGTTAGTTCAAATATTTTATAAAAAATTAAATAATCATCTAGCTAATTTAAATTATTATTGTAATATAATTTGTTTTTAAATAAGTTTAACTATTATTATTAAAATTTTTTTTATAAATACAGAGTAAATTTATTAAATAAAAATCTTTATTGTTTAATATAACTAGCTGAATTTGGTAAAATATATTAAAATATTTACATAAATTTAATTAATTAATTGATACATGTAATTTAAGTTTTATATTATAATTAATTTAATAAACATTGTTTTATCAATATATATATGTCTATACAGTATTTTTGTTTTGGCTATTTATTAGTTTTTTAGTTTAGCAAAAATTTAATTAAACTAAATAAAATTTATTTAATAAATTAACAATCTATTTATACAAAATATTTTTGTAATAATAATAATAAATAAAATTTTATAATTATTATAATATTTTAGCATTTCAGTCATATTTCTTCATAATTAATAAATTAATTTATAATAATTAATTTAATACAAACAAAAATTTATTGTTTTTTGTTCTTTATGATTTATATTAGCTAGGTGATTATTTATTTATTTAATATAGATTAGTGTTGTAAAAGAAAAAAAAATTAATCAAAATAATTAGATTTTTAACTTTTTATTTTACAATGAGCCAACAAAATAAAAATCAATTTAAAGTTCAAAATAACCATTTATCAATTATAACATTCAACATTTTCAAATTATAAATAATCATCTAGCTAATATAAATTACATAATGGAAAACTTTAACCTATAATTTATTATTGAATTAAATTTATTATAAATTATGAAAATATATATGATTAATGTCAAAATAGTATATGAATTATTGAATTTTATTAAAACTAATTACTATTACAAAAAAATTATTTTTTATATAAATAGTGTAAAATTAGTCAAAAAAATATAATAATTATTTTTGTTTATTAATCTAACTTGAAGTAGATTTTAATAAAATAAAATATTTTGTCTAATTATAAAATATATTTATAAAAAAAAATAAATTACAATGTATCAGCTAAGAAAATTCAACTTGCTAATTTCTCTAATAGCCATAATAACTTTAATGATGATCATGTTGTTTGCCACTGATGTACAAGGTACAAGTTTATTTTATTAATTTTATATAATATTTAATAATTATTTTTAAAGAAAAAATTAATTAATTTTTTATTTATTTCATTTTATTATTATATATATATATATATATATATATATATATATATATTGATAGGTTGTGCAGATAATGGTCAACCATGTGGTAGATGTTGTAGTGGACTAATATGTCATAGAGTTATGCATAGAGTTCGTTATTGTCAACCTAAATAAAAATTATATCTATTGAAAAAATGTTTGTTTTTTAGTAATTTAAAAAAATAAACATGTAACATGTAAACAGTTAAATTTGTTTTTGTTTTAAAAATAAAATTATTTTTAAAATTAAAAAAAATATTTGTTTATTTATTTATATATTTAATCATTTAATGATTTATGAAAGTATTTTATTACTGCATTTTTTTCAATTAACAATAAATTATTTATTTTTTGTATAAATAGAGTAAATTTACACAAAAAATAATAATAATTTTTATTTAATCTAACTCGCAGTAGATTTCGATAAAATAAAATAATTAAAATATTTCGTTTTTATAATTAATTAAATTAATATTAAATAATAAATATTTACTTTTTTATTATAATTTATTTATATTTATTTATATTAGTTTTGATTGAAAATAATTTAAAAATGTATTCACTTGAGAAAAAAATGTATTTTGATTTGTATTAAGCAAGATTTAATTATTAATTAAAATATAATATATATGTTACTTAATAGTAATTATTAATTATGTTAAACTTATTTTTTAAAAACTTTTAAGTATTAATATAGAAGTTTAATACTAGTAATTGAAATTTGCTGGCTCATTTCTAGAAAAAAAAACTAAAAATAATAAATACAATAATTATTAAAACAATGAACTTTATTTTATTGGAAAACAAAATTATTTTAATAGTACTAACTCATATACTAAATATTAATAATAAAAATTTTTAACATATTTTCTATTGTTTGAATTAAATTTATTTCATTCAAATTAATTTATTAATTATGAAAAAATATTAAGAATAATATTAACAATATGAATTTTCTTTAATTTTATTAAACTATTACTATTTGAAAATTTATGTATAAATAGAGAGAAAATTTCAACAATATATATATTAATTTTGTTTGAATCTAACTTGAAGTAGATTTTGTTAAAATAAAATAATTAAATAATTTGTTTTTAATTATAAAATTTTTTATTAAAAAAATATAAAACAATGTATCAGCTAAACAAATTGTACTCGCTAGTTTCACTAATAGCCATAATAACTATTATGATGATCATGATGTTTCCTAATGATGTTCAAGCAGGTACAGTTTATTTATTTATATATATATATTGATTTAAATTTATAATTTGATATATAAATTTTTTAGTATAATTATTTTATTTATTTTATTATTTAAAAAAAATTAAAACTAAAATTAATTATATTTAAAGATTGTTCAACTATTGGTAGGCCATGCGGTAAAGGACAGGGATGTTGTGGTAGACTAACTTGTAAAATTTGGGGTGATTCTGGTATTTGCACGTTTATAAGAATTTAAAAATAAAAATAACTACCTTTTAATAGTCTAATAGCAATTATATATAGAGATTATTATTTTTTTTTGTTGAAATTTTTTTTTATTTATTAATTTAATTGTTATTTTACTTAATAATAATTATTGTTTTTTAAAAAATAAAATAAAAATCACAATAACATTAGTACTAATTATTGACAATAAACAATATATCTTTTTAATTGTAGTAAAAAAACCTATTTAGAAATTATAAAATGAAAAATGTTAAATTTTTAACAGCTAATTATTTTTAAATAAAATTATTTTTAATGACTTTTTACATTTATTTATTTAGAATTATTTTTAAAAATAAGATTTACAAAAAAAATTGAACTATTGAAACATTTTTTTAATATCCCCTCAAATATTATAATCCATACAATGGGTTATTTTATTAGATTTTAAAAATAAATAAATAAAAAATATGATATTAAATAAATAAAATTAATATATATAAATAATTGCATTTAAAAAAATATATCTAGTAATTAACATTATTATTATTTAAAGTAAAGATAAAAATAATAATAAAATTCTATCTAATTCTAATTTTAAGAAAACAAGTTAAATTTTTTAATAAGTCATTAGGTCTATAAAATCTACAAAGGTTAAAGGTATAAATTATAAAGGTCTACAAAATTATAGATTTTATATATTTATATAAATATTTTTTATTTAAATTTTCGTTAGATTAATAATAAATTAAATTTCCAGCAATATACTGTATGTTTAACTTAATTTTTTTTAAACAGTAATTATTATTTAGGTTAAACTTTTTTTTTAGATTTTTATTATAATTTATTTAACATTAGTTTTGATTGAAAATAATTTAAAAAAGTATTTACTTGAGAAAAAAAATTGTATTTTGAATTGTATTAAGCAAGATTTAATTATTAAAT